AATGTTTCTGTTGACTTCTATAGYTCCTCCGTACCCTTCCCACACATTTTATAGCACCTCGCCCCACGGAGGCCCTGCTGATTCTCAAAGACAACCGTAAACTGCAAGAGCAGGAGGCAACCGAGTCAACAAGAGGGGCTTGAAACCCACTCCCTGAGCTTAAAACCCACTCCCTGACTCCTGATGGCTCAGGAAGAGTCCTGAGCAGGTCTGGCAAACAAGACCTACCTGCAAGCTCACCTTAAATCCTTTGCAAATAACGACTTTTGGCTTCCTTTTCCGCGGATACCAAAGTTGCTCTCAACTGGAGCACCTCATCAGCGAGCATTAATCAGCGCTGCGCTTCCTTGCGTCAGCCGCGCAGCCGGAGCACTTGGATAACCTCTGTCGCGCAAGAGATGAGCTTCCCAACTCTGACAAGCTGCATTAATCATGATCTTTAAATCATCTTTTTCCACYGCTCACGCGCGTTACTAAATCACCTTGAACCATTTTTCACGTAGAACTGGATCTCATCACCCATCTTCTGCCCCTCAAGAGACTGCCGCGTCGGACTGCGTAACGGGCAGATATGTAYAGCTGGGCTCTTAACACAAAAATAATTACTCCTGCATTTCAGTGCTTCATATTACTGAGGCTACATCATGACGATCTAAAGGCAAGACAGAAAAAAAATAGCTGAAGTCATCTTAATGCCATCAATATTGGCTAAAGCATTACAGCCCCAAACCAAGCCCAGAACATTAGGGCCGAAGGAGCTTAACGATCACGCAGCAAATCACTTCCAAAAGGGGATTGTAAAGCTTCAAACCCAACACACAAGCATTACAATTAGAGCGAGCGTATAAAACCTGATCGCTTTCTAACCATGAGTGTAAAATACCGAAATTCTTGGATTCAGAGAYTGAAACACTTGTGTTTTGGACTGTATCAGCGCAGCGGATTTAAGACGGCAGAACAGTCCCCAGCTTGACTTGCACWGCCTCAACGTTGAGCCCGGCCCTGCTAGTTTGAGAGCAACAGCTCCACAGGAATTCTCATGTTTCACTGCTGTTCACCTGCACAGAGGTCATGGTACCTCATAAATCATTCCCAAAATGTCTTAGCGTGTGCCTTAAACTCACCACGATGGCTTGCATGCACACCAAGCAGCACGTACGTGCACCTACTCACTCACTATGCATTAGGTACATACTATTATACRCAGCTCCAAGCAGTTACAGGTGAACAGGGATCAAAAGCACAAAATGACACAAAATCTTCCACGAGACTCATCAATATTAGAACCAAACCCTCCCCAGCAGGGACCAAAGCCATGACTAAGTGAGTCAGGCCCTCAAAGCCCTGCAACCAAGGGAGGACTTTGCCCCTTCCATTGCACTCCTATGGTGCCCTGTATACCATCCATACGGTGCTCCAGCTCTCCATACGGCTTTCAACTCCCCCTCCAACCTAACCTTGCTACATCATGCTTTTATATCAAAATATCAGCACATCTGCCTTACATTGCAGGCATTTGGACATTTCATCTACCTGCGCTCAGCAGATGACACACACAGACAGCCCAGCACAGAAATAACCCCCAAGACTCATTTTTCTCCAGCTCTTATTATTCTTGAGTAATTTTTATTAAGGGAGGATGAAAAGGTCTTCGTCTTGACTCATCTTAGTGCACCATGGTTTCTATAGATTAGCCTATGCAGATGAAGGTGTAAGATTTTTCACGGACACTTATTTCAAGCTATGAAACATTTCATGCTAAGCAGCCTATCACTACAAAAATAACCATTTTGGAAGTAATCAAAAAAATTATTTATTATTGGCCAATTTGGGAAATTATTCCAATTATTTTCCAATTACGGAAAGCGCTCAGACTGCCATTTGTCAAAACAACACGACGACACGATTACAATTTGTGATCAAAAGAATGCAAGAGAAGCTGATTTATAGATTTACATCAGACAGAAGTAATTTTCAAGCCTGATGCATGATCTGGGTACTCAGTCTGATGAATAAAGCCTCCATATGATTATTCCTGCTATTTTGTAAAAGGGGGACAGTATCTGTTGAAAATCCAGCTACTTTTCCAGGGTCCAAGCAAGGATTTTGTCAAGGCACCAGTTTGTCAGCAATGAYCACAGCCTGGAAAACACATTCCAGGCAAACATGTGAAGAACCAGAGCTCTCCATATTCATCAGGGAACTCATCCGGGCTTCCAGATTACACTAAAAGAAACATCCAATTCCTTTTTCACTTAAAAATAATGACTTTAAGACATGACCATGGCCTGGACCACAACGTCTTAAGCATCTCCTGTGAAATGTTAAGGTCAATAGGAAAAAAACCCCATAGTCTGGCAGAAATAAACTGCTCTATGAGCTGAATACTAATTACCAAATACACCGTTTTGGTTTTTATTTCACGGTACCTGCTGCATCTCTGCCCAGAAACCAGTTGTGTTGCTCACATTGGCTTTCAAGTTGATGACTGTAACTATATCCAGCTCCTTTAATCATCCTAATAAATCTCCCTCTCCGTAGAAGCCATCAAAGGAGGCATTAGGAGCAAACTGGATACACCTGCTAGAGAGGTGACACAAGTGAAATGTAAGAGTACAAGGAAAAATGTTTGCATTTGTCCAAGCAAAAGCCTTCATTTTGCTCTTAGTGAGAGGCATCCAAAAGGGTTTTGAAAACACCTATTTCAGGAGACAGGCTCCTGTTTAAAGTCTGAGCATATTTAAGGATTTGGGGTTATTTTTGCTTCAGATTTTACTCTCCCAGAAAACACTAAGCTAACTGTAGAGATGCCTATGGGCAGAACTTGACCATATAAAACCAACAGTCACAAAAAGACCATCCAGAGGTATAAACAGCAACAGCTGATGGCAACAAACCCTTGATGGCAGCTCGCACTTTATTCATGCTGAAGGGCCAGATCTACAGCCCCCACTAAACCCGGGGTAGGGTTTTACTTCAGGCACCCCATCCCCAACACCACCAGAGCTCTCTGGAAGCTCTTGGGTGGCACAACATCCATACAAGCCAAGGAATTCACCCCAGATCAGCACAAGGGTACCCAGACAAGAAGGAGATGGACCTTCCTGCAAGGTCCTTCCTTGGGACCTTGTCCCTTTCTTCCAGCCAAGTCTTTCCTATTTTAGTCCTCATTTCCCGGAAAACTCTGTGATATCGTTTATCTGATTGTGGGCCCAGCATTCAGCCAAACCTCCTCTCTGTGACAACACAGTCATAAAATCTCCTCTCATCCCATTTCACCCCAGTCACCTTTTTTTCCCCCCCATCTATCCCCCCAAATGTCACCATCCTTCCGGGATGCTGAAGCTGCTTTTTAGAATGAAATTGAGCACAGGTTTACACCCATAGAAAATAAATCTCATTGAAGTCTTTTTTTAAACTGTCTCACAGCTTTCCTAGGTACTTTCATACTTATATTTTGTTTTCATCTCCACTTCCCTCCCTATTTTTATGTCACTTGCAGTACAGCAGTGTTTATTTTCGGAGAGAAGCACATTCGGTCGTGCTCTGCTTCCTTTCCCGGCAGTTCCCACATCTAGCCTGAAACAATCCAGCCCTTAATTACAGAGCTGCTCTACTACACTCATGRTAAAGCAGACCATTTCTTAGGCATGAAATGTGTTTTGCTTGGCAAGTGTGACAAGCCTCGTTCTGCAGGCTTCCCCCACCCCAATATTTGCTTTGGTCTTCACATTCGATTTTGTGTTGTTTTTATCTCTAAGCCAAAGCAATCACAATATTCATAACCAGATTAGATCTGTTCTTCTCCTTTCTCCACACTTGCCTCCAAAATGCAARCTTCACAAATTCTTGCCAGGGTAACTTCATTATATTTAGCACCACGGCCCCATGCAATTTCATTTAGATGCACGTATCTTCCCTTCTCAAATGTAAACACAAGAAAGCAAAATGTTATTGAAGGCTTTATCACAGTGTTGAAGGGCACTCCTCAAGGCAGCCGTTTTGGGCACTTTGCACTTTGGGCACGCCAACCAAGAAAGGGCATAAATGAACCGCTCGGAACATGCCTGTTTCTGAGAAACATGGTTGAGGGTTCATCTCGCTCTATCACCCTCAGAAAATAAAAGCAGCGGTGCCAAACAGCCATGCTGTTCACTGAGACYTCCCCAAGACAGCATTTGTCCATGCTACAATTCATCATGCAACCCCAGAAAAGGCAAAAAGCAGCATTTTTATGACAGCAATTAATAAATCACAGAAGGGAAAGCAGCAGCACTTCCATAAMAGTCCTCAGCAAGTGAGTTTAAAAAGTATAGACTATCCCGTGTCCTTATTTAAAGCATCGTTGCTTCTCTTTCTCCAAAGAAAACACCTTCCCTAAAAGCTGAATCCAGGTGTTCCTTGCTCACATGACAGTGAAGTTTACCAAACACACCTTTGTAGTTGATAAAAAGGAAAAAGAATCCCTATCCTGATCCGAGTAGCCAAAGCACAGCCACCTGTGCTGCGACATTAGCAAAGGCAGTTATCCTAATTCCAAAGGCACCTAATTAAGTTGGAAAAGCTAAAGGTGGTAGCACATACTACCCCCATGTTCACAGAACAGCGAGGATCGCTTAAAAAATGAATGAAACCAGCCAAAAATGACAAAATTGACTGAAAAAATGCAGAAACTTTCCAAAATAACAGAATTCCCTGAAAAGGTGCAAAGGCTTTCCGAAATGACAGCATTCCCTGAAAAAAAAGTGCAAAGACTTTCCGAAATGACAGAATTCCCTGAAAAAAAGCGCAAAGACTTTCCGTGCCGCCATTCCCAAAACACTTCCTTTCTGCCACAAAGTTGCCCACAAACCAGTGCCCATCCCCTCCGCGCACCCTACAGCTGCCAGGGGATAAACAGGCCGGAGAATCGCCGACGGGATCCCGCATCCGCCGTTCCCGGGAGGCCGGCCACCGCAGGCTCCCGGAGCCGGCAGCGTTCCCGGCGCGGCGCTCCCTACCTCGGCACGTGGTCCCGTTGCCCACGTAGCCCGGCTTGCAGGTGCAGCTGTGGCCCCGCACCGTGTTGGTGCAGATGGCGTTGGCGTCGCAGCTCCGCTCGCCGCCGCCGCACTCGTCGCGCTCTGCAAGACAAGAGGGACCCCGGGGTGAGCGGCTCGCGCGGCGACATCGGCACCCAAGCCAACGCCGGGCCGCTGCGACGGCGGAMCGTGGAGCTTGGTGGAGGAGGCAGCCGTGGGGCCGCTTGGATTACTCCTGCTTTGTCTCCAGGTGACAGGAGGTTATTTAGGGCCAAAAGCAGGCAGAACCACAGGGGAGGCGGCTACGGCGACAAGCCCATGAACGAGGGCTCCGCAGAGGCCTCTTTCACGGGCCTCTTTCGGAGCCACCTTGATGACTAACCTTCACAYGGGCCAATATCAACAGTGATGATCATCACCACCACAAACCCRGGAGAGGGCCCCCCACGAGCACCCCTGAAACGAACCACAGCTCAGCTGCTGGAGCCACTTGCTTAAACACACGCTCAGCTGAATCCCCAGCAACCATAACRTGTTATATTTAGCGTGCACCATTCACACCATAGGACCCCGAATGCCAACCRCGTGCTTGGCCTTCGCGCAGCGACTCCAGCTACCGCCAGAGAGCCACATTTGCTGCCCTTGATTCTTTGCAATGTTTTGCTCTAGTGAAATAGGAGCTAAAAGGTGTTGGGCTACCTGGCTCTGATGGTTTTCCCTTCTTCCTGCAATTACCAGCAGCCTCCCTTATGAGGCAGGGCTGCAAAAAATGAAACCTGCCGCGATTTCCCCCCATTTCTAATTTGTATTTGTTAACATACAAGATGTCGCTGTCCCAAGAACGATAACGGGAACCTCCTCTGCAGGAGGATCTCTTAGTAGCTGCAATCGTGGGAATTGCAGAAGGAATTTTCCCTGGTGTAGACGTGACTATGGAGGAGGTTGCTACAGCCCTAACAAGAGTGAGGAGGCACTGATTTTCCGCCAGGCTACCCAGAACTTTCGTGGCAAACGGAAACACTCCCCGCGACGCCGTCAGCGGTGACTTCCCGTGGATCCCGTCTCCCTCACACGGGAGCAATAGCTCACGGGACCACTTGGTGCTCCCAATATTGGGAAGAGCGGGTAGGAGGGAAGCAGGAGGGAATTTTGTTTAACCTCAACAGGAGGTGGCGAAAAGACTTTTTTTTTTTTTTTTTTCTCCCAGTTCTGAAATCTCTAAACTAAACAGGGAGAAACACAGGTAGCAACCAGAGACTGACCTACAAAAACTCCCGGCAGATGGACAATATTGTAGGATGCAACTCCCTGAMCCAACTCTCACTCCCTTAATCCTCCCTCCTATCCCATTTCAAGGAATAGATACAATTTTTGAAGAGAACCTCAAGTGCAACATGGTGCTTTCCTCACAGACAAGTTGATTTATGCAGTCTCTGAATGTTACTTGCAAAATTTAGTGTTCCTTTCCTGCAGGAAAGCTGGTTGTTGCCACCTACCTCCATGCTTTGAAAAGCCCAGAGAAACCATCAGTTCTGCCATGCCTTTGCTTTCCTCTGTAATAAAATGAGGACATTCTGCCACATTTTTAAGTGTTTAGCCCTACTCTGAAATCCTCACGTTTTAACATTTAAGTTAAATAATGCCCATCCTCTTCTTGGAAGAAACAAAAACTCTAATATTAATCAACTGTCGCTTTACCTTTTCCTTAGTTTTTCTTTCCTGCAAGCAGAGGGAATGGATGCACAAGCAGAGCACATGGATGAAACCCCATTTCACCTTGGAAGGTCTGGATCACCACGCTGGCTTCCCAGCCCCACGTCCCAACCAACGATGCCTTCCCACCTCAGATTTCTCCTCTCTGCCTTCCAGAATTTTCCAGAGCACTCTGGAACTTCTCCAGTGTCCTCAGGAACATCACGTTGCCTGAGCTCAGCCCTGAACCAGGACAACTTAGGGAGCAATTCCTGCAAAGTTTCTCAATGTTTAACCAGCTGCACCCAGAAACCCTRGAAAAGCCCTAAGAAACTGGTCTTTCTAAAAGCAAATACATCACCTTGGTGGCCTTTGCTGTCTAACTACAGTGCTGAGGAACCACAACACGCATCAGCAGTGGGTGCACCCTAGGCACGCACTAAGCAAGGCTTCAGTTTGGAAGAACTAAGGCCTTTAAAGCAAAACCCTTGCAGGAAACCTCTATATGACAAAGCCAAACATAAAGAAGATAAATATATAAAAAGTTAATACATAAAAAGATAAGTTAAGCAGCCAGAAAATAGGTTCGAGTAGGTGGTTAGTTGCATACCTGCCAAATTATAGAAGAACATTTTACATTAYGGGGGGAAAAAAAGACACAGAACAAAACACACAACTTTGTGCAAGCCCCGGGGCAGCACCACTCACCTTCACCTCTGCCAAGGGAGAAGCCCCTATTAAAAGCCAAGCTCTCTAAGCTGCACCTGCACCCCCAGCAAGAACAGAGTAATGGATCCCGAGACACTTCACCTGAGAAGCTACTTCAAACTGAACCAGAACCTCAGCTTTTTAGCAAGGCAGGGGTAGCTCTTCCTGCTAACGAGCTTAAGTACCTGCAGGGGACAACAATTTGGGCTCCTGGCCACCTCAAACAGGCACCATCCCTGCTGCTCCATCCTGAAGCTGCTGGGAGCAGATCACAGCAGGGTGCAGGGGACCCCAAATTCAGCAGCTCCGAGCCCCCAAATTTGTCACATCTTTCATACCCCCATTTGGGGCTAATCTGTCCCCCAGCAGAAGTGGTGCAAGGGGCTTCTGGATGAGGATTTTATCAGCCTGAGCCAGTACACGGTGTATGAATTCACACTGCGTGGCAGAAGCATAATACAAACCACCACATAAATATAATTTGCAGCAACACGTGCAAAGTAAAGAGGATTTGCAACGTGTTTATAGAGACAGATTAAAGAACAACCGCGTTTCTCCTCCTCTTTCAGATGTTCATGAAATGCAGTGTTTGTAAAAGCTCCCAGACACTTCCAAGGATTAGAACCAGGAGAAATGTCAGTACTAAAAAAATTGCCATGTTCTTAAAGTTGYAGGTTACAAACGTCTGCATTTTTAATAATTTTTAATGCAGAATATTTACAATACACACTTTTTCTAGGATAGCAGAGCAAGATAGTCCGTGCTTCTATTTTAGGKACTTATTTCAAGCACATTCTTCAGAGATATGATAGAATTGAGGGCATTTCAGCTCTTCTGTTTGGGTTGTTAGGATTGCATTTGGTCTAAAACACATACTAGAAAATTAAAACCTCAGATTGAAAGCATAAAGCAGGCAACAATAAAGCTAAGAACCACTTGTCCAAAATACATAAAATTGTAGTATCAGGTTGGTTCTCCCTCATACACCTCAATAGCATGTAATGAATGTCAGGGTTATGATGCTAGAAAGGTACTTTTGATAAAGTTTGGTTTAGTAGGTAAATATACTAAGGTAAAATTCATTCATTGATTAATTAGACACCTGGCAACACTTAAGCAACAGCCTTAACTTACACAGGAGAATGTCTTTTCTCCAAATACTTTCAAAAATCCTTTTTCTGGGGATGAAGCAACAACTTGTTGGATGGCATTAGGCTTCAAACATCTCTTTAATAATTGAGACCTTAAAAGCCTATTTTGAGAGATGGGAAATTTGAATGTAGGAGGAATTTTGGAATTAGTGGATTCCAGTGCTGTTCTGAACACGCATTAAGAACTTCCTGCCCCAGAACTAGGACAACTGGAAACAGGCCACGCACGTCAAGCGAGGCACATATGGGAAAATGCAGCACAAAGATATTAAGGCATCAAGAGAAAGAACTRCAGCTACTTTTGAACCCAAACAACTCCGAAAAATGTGCATTTCCCCCTAACTCGGGAGAATTACTGAAACAAACCCRTGTTCATCCGTGCCCGCTGGGAACTTCATTTGTCCAAGCTCACCCTGCCCGATTCTGCGAGGAAACAGGACCAAAGGGCAGGACACAGAGGAGCCAAGTCTCCCATCTCCCTGCAGCTTAATAACACAAAGACTTTACCCTTAACAGCCGCTGGAAAGCTTGAGAAATAGGAGCTACACAAGATGTACAGATTTTAATATGAAAGTGAAATCCTGTCCTAACATATAACATGTAAGACAGTGAACAGCTTCTAGTGTTAAACATCGAATTATTTAGGCCGTGTCCAGAAAGAGTAGATAGATGCTGCCCTTTGCTTATTACTAAGGAACAGCAGGTTTAATTTGATTATAACATTCTGATTGTGCTTGTATTTGCCTAACTGAAGAAAAATCTCTGGAATCTTTCCTTTTGAATAACCAACAAGTATTTCTTTTAGTTTCCTGGAACCAAAAGGGCCCTTGCCTATTTACAACCGAGTTTGCAAAAGGTATCGCTCATATAATCCTTATTTATTATTTTTGTTTAGTTTTTACTATATTGCAATAAGCTAGTCTGCCTAGACCTAGAATTGTCTGGAAACACATGCAAAGAAATAATTGGATTCAAATTCCTAAACTGCCATTTAAAGAGAGATTCTCCAAGGAACAGGAAACTTGTCAGATCCATCCTGACATTTTTAATTATTAGTTGCTGTAGTTAAATCTTTCGCTGCACGGTGAAATCTTTGTAGTCACCTACAAAAAGAGGTGAACAAAAGCAGTGTAATCTTAATGATGTACTTGATTTTAAGATGCCTGGTGTAACCCTGAAAGCCCAAGAAGAAAATGGACTAAAGTCCCTGTGTAAATATGGGAAATAACATCCCCTCTGCTAATAGGATTTGGAAGTTCAGCACCTGACTCAATGGCTGGGTCTATACGTTGCAGTACCTATGGAAAAGGCCACTCTTCCTTCCGCTCCCTGGCCAAGGGCAGGGTCTATCTTGCATTTCCAGTACATAAAGACCTCCCTGTTTCTTGTTGAAAAGGTGACACGATCAAATTCGCACCTGCTATTAAGAATCCCACACGCTCCACTCTTACAGCACATATACAGGCAGAAATAGGAAGAATCCTGGATGACAAAATATAAGACTTCAGTCATCCCAGAAATATTCATAGGACCCTAAACATGTCATGAGCC